AAAAAGAAACAGGATATTCCAGAGGATTCTAAAGAAACAGTACCCAGAATCTGGGTTCTGGAGACCCACTGTTTCTAAAGCTCCTCCAAGGAAGAATTTTCCAAAACATGCAGGGAGGCTATTTATTTATTTATTTTTTTGAGTCGCAGTCTTGCTCTGTCACCCAGGCTGGAGTGCAGTGGCACAATCTCCGGCTCACTGGCAACCTCCACCCTCCCCAGGTTCAAACAATTCTCCTCTGCCTCCAGTCTCCCGAGTAGCTGGGATTACAGCGACCCACCACCATTCCACAACGCCTGGCTAGTTTTTTTATTTTTATTAGAGACAGGGGTTCACCATGTTGGCCAGGCTGGTTCGAACTCCTGACCTCAGGCGATCAGCCCACCTCAGCCTCACAAAGTGCTGGGATTACAGGCATAAGACACCATGCCAGGCTTTTATTTTATTTTACTTTACTTTACTTTATTTTATTATATTTACTTGAGACAGGGTCTCGCTCTGTCACCCAGGCTGGAGTTCAGTGGTGCTTCAGCCTTGACCTCCCAGGCTCAAGGGATCCTCCAGCAATCAAGTGATCCTCTTGCCTCAGCCTCCTGAGTAGCTGGGACCACAGGCACATGCCAGCAAGTCAGGTTAAATTTTTAATTTTTTGTTTGTGTGTGTGTGTTTTTCTTTGTTTGTTTGTTTGTTTGTCTGTTTTTTACGTAGTCTCACTCTGTTGCCCAGGCTGGAGTATAGCAGTGAGATCTCGGCTCACTGCAACCTCCACCTCCTAGGTTCAAGCGATTCCCCTGCCTCAGCCTCCCAAGTAGCTGGGATTATAGGCACGCGCCACAATGCCCGGCTAATTTTTTGTATTTTAGTAGAGACGGGGTTTCACCATGTTGGCCAAGATGGTCTCGATCTCCTGACCTTGTGATCCACCCACCTCGGCCTCCCAAAGTGCTGGGATTACAGGAGTGAGCCACCATGACCGGCCCAGATAATTTTTTTTTTATTTTTAGTAGAGTGGGGCTTTCACCATGTTGGCCAGGCTGGTCTCGAACTCCTGACCTCAAGTGATCTGCCTGCCTTGGCCTCCCAAAGTGTTGGGATTACAGGCATGAGCCACTGCACCCAGCCTAATATTTTAATTTTTTGTAGAGACAGGATCTCCCTATATTGCTCATGCTGGTCTCTTTAAGGGATCCTCATGCCTCAGCCTCCCAAAGTGCTGGGATCACCTTAGAAGAGGAGCTGTAGTGTGGTGATGTCTGTCTGGGGATACCTAGGGATCACAACTCCAGCTCCTTCACCCCCCCACACTTTCGTAGGGTCAGCCCTGCTCCCATTTCTTAGCAGGCTGGAGTGGGAGGTTAGGGAAGGACATGCCTCTGATCCTCTCTCCAGGGCCGCCTCCCCCACAGAATTTACAGGCTGCAGAGGTGGGGTAGGCAACTCCCCAGGCGGCTAGATGGGTCCTGGGTCCTGAAGTTGCAAATTGAATTGGTTCTCCCCCACCCTCGGATGGGAGAAGATGAGGGTGCCTTAGGAAGGCCAAGGTGACAATGACAGGATGAGTGGGAGAGTGTGAGCAGGGCCTGTAAGAACCCTGAGGTGAGGTTAGAATGTGGGGGTCTCAGCTTGAAGAAGGGGGCCCTGGGGTGCTGACGCAGTGGGTCAGGGCACCCACCCTTGTCTCCTGCCTCCCACCCCAGGGTGCCCTTTGAAGCTGGGAGGGTGCTTTGAGCTGGGGTCTCCTGGCCAGATGCGCTGGGAGAGGGGGTGGAGCTGATCATCCCCCAGGCCTCGCCCTCCCCACCCCCACCTTCAGACTCCCTTCTTGTCCCAGAGACCGTTTCCGGCAGTTGCAGGGGGCACCCATTACCCCCCAGGCTCCCGCCTTGCAGCTGTTCCCCAGCTGCCCTGCCCCACCCCAAAGACAGCTGGGAGCGAGGCCGAGGGAGGGGGCAGGAGTGGCCCAGCTGCTGGGCTCCGGGCTGGGATGGGGAGGGCGGCAACATGAAAGAGCTGGGGCCGGCAGGCGGCAGAGGAAACCACCCCCGCCCCCTCCCTCGCGGTGGCCTCCCTGCAGTCTCAGCACATCTGGGCCACAGGTCTGTGGGGTGGGGAGACGTGGTTGGATCCCCAACCCTTCCCGGAAAGGGGAGGCGTGATGGCCTCTGGGGGAAGGCAGGAGGGGAGGGCCGTGTGCTGGGGCACCTGTGGCTGCAGCCAGCTCTCCAAGGGGCCACCAGTTCAGGGCAGAGAAGGCCCCTCCGATGACTTCTGAGTGAGCCTGTTCCCTGGGGCAGCCCCAGCTCTTGCTGGGCCTCCTCTGCCCCTGACCCTTTTGGGAGCTGAGTGACAGCTGCTCCTACAAAGCCAGGGACAGCTGGATGGCTGGGGACAGCTGGGTGGGTTAGTGTCTCCCTGCTTCCCTGGCTGCCTAGAGATCCCCCCAAGCCAACTCTGGGCAGCTGCTGCTTCACCTATAGATGTGTGCGTGAGCGTGTGTTTGTCTGGGGTGGGCTTCAAAGCTGGGACGTGGAGGGGCTCGAGCCCATCCCATTCCCACCAGAATGTCCCCTCCAGATATCAGATCTCAGTGGACTGACGCACCTGGAGAAAGGGCCTCTCTCCTCAGTCAAAACAAAACTAGGCCAAGTGGGAAAGAAATTGGGCAGCTTTCTGTCTTGGCTCCCAACTGTTGGCATGGGGGACGTCCCAGGGTTCCTGGGAACTGGAGAAAGGGACGGTGAGACGGAAGCAGATGTCAGTGGAGTGAAGTGACTGTCCACTGCCACCTGTCCCCAGGCATCCTGCACCCTGGGCTGGAGGGGCACTGTGCTCCAGCCATCTCCCCACTCCCTTTAGCCCCAAACAGGTGCACAGGGAGGGAAGGGGGAGGCCAGCTGTTGTCATAAAGCTCCTGGCTCCCTGCCACACTGGGGAAGGGAACGATGAAGCAAGGGTCCACCATTCCACCCGAGTCATCCTCTACTCGCACAGGGCAGGAAGGTGGAGGCAGTTAGCAAGACTATGACTATGGTTTGGTCTGGCCAGCCCCAAAGTCTTTATTTTTCTTTCTTTATTTTTTCCCCTTCGAGACAGGATCTTGCTCTGTTGCCCAGGCTGGAGTGCAGTGGCAAGATCTCAGCTCACTGCAACCTCCACCTCCCAGCCTCAATCAAGCAATCCTCCCACTTCAGTCTCCAGAGTAGCTAGGACCACAGGCTCACAGCACCACGCTTGGCTAATTTTTTGGGTTTCACCATGTGACCCAGGCTGGTTTTGAACTCCTGGACTCAAGTGATCCATCCACCTTGGTCTCTCAGAATGCTGGGATTACAGGCGTGAGCCAACGTGCTTGGCAAGCCTTTATTTTTCTGAGGGGAGGGGTGGCTAGGGGTCAGTGAGGCTTGGACCACTGGCATGGGACATTTTTTTTTTTTTTTTGAGATGGAGTCTGGCTCTGTCACCCAGGCTGGAGTGCAGTGGCACGATCTCGGCTCACTGCAACCTCTGCCTCCCGGGTTCAAGTGATTCTCCTGCCTCAGCCTCCTGAGTAGCTGGGATTACAGGCGCCCACCACCATGCTGGCTAATTTTTGTATTTTTAGTAGAGATGAAATTTCACGTTGACCAGGCTGGTCTCCAACTCCCGACCTCAGGTGATCCGCCCGCCTCGGCCTCCCAAAGTGTTGGGATTACAAGCCTGAGCCACTGTGCCTGGCAAGCATGGGACTTTACATGGCTCTCTGCCTTGTCCTGGGCTTCCTTGGGTAGCTGGCATTCAGGCCCTGATTCTGCTCAAACAAGAGGAAAGACAGCTAGTCACCCAGCAGAGTACAGAAGTACATGGGCTGTGGACTTACAGCTCCGTGCAGAGCATCAGTCTACAACTGGAGCCTTTTGATGATGAGGTCCCTCTCCAGAGAAGGGCCTTGGGGTGTCCCAGCTTACTCTCCCCACAGTGGCCTCTGTGACAAGCAGCAGGGAGGACCCTGGCCACCCCGATGGCAGCACTTCTCCAACCCCAGGATGTGTCAGAATTAAAAATGCAAATTCCTGGGCTCTCAGAGATTCCCAATGAGTCTAAGCTGGGCCTCAGGAATCAGCGCCCCTACCTCTCTCTTTTTTTTTTTTTTTTTTTGAGACAGGGTCTCGCTCTGTTGCTTTGTTGCGCAGGCTGGAGTGCAGTGACTTGATCTAGGCCTACTGCAACCTCTGCCTCCCAGGCTCAAGCAGTTCTCCCACCTCAGTCCCAGAGTAGCTGGGACCACAGGTGTGGTGTGCGCCACCAAGCCCAACTAATTTTTGTATTTTTTGTAGAAACAGGGTTTCGACATGTTGCCCAGGCTGGTCTCAAACCCCTGAGTTCAAGCAATTTGCCTGCCTTGGCCTCCCAAAGTGTCAGGATTACAGGCGTGAGCCATAGCAAGAAATCAGCCCTTTTAACAAGCTCCCAAGACATGCTTGAGACTTGGAGAAGCTCTGCCGAAGTGGATGGGGACAAGATGTCTTTTTCATCTTGCCACCTCACCTCCACCCCTCCCAAGGCCAAAGCCCCAAGTCCAAAGGAAGTATGGACCCGAGTGGTCCCCTCTCCCTATGGGGGCCATGGCCTAGCTAGATGACATTCTGTCTCTATGCCCGCAGCCCTGCACAGTGCCTGGCACATAGTGTGCACTCAAATATTTGTGGCCTGAAGGAGGTAAACTTTGCAAGACCCATAGAAAGGTGTTTCTCCTTTGTCCTCAGCTAAGAGCACACTGGCAGAACCTCAAAGAGATGCCAGGGCCCAGGTGGCATGGGGCTGGGCCTGGGAGGCCCTGGGCAAATATTTGTCAAATGAACCCAAGGCCAAGAGCAGACGGAGTCAGTGCCTGACGAACTGACATTCACAGGCCTGGAACCAGCTGGACCCGGGGGGCAAAATCAAGGCAAAGAGGGCAGGGGCCCCTCCCCACACTGATCCCAGGCCTCGGGGGGGGACAGGGGAACAGGCGAGGCAGGGAGTGGGACTGCGCCATCATGTTTATTAGAAGGTTGGATTTTGGTGTGTGCTCTAGACAGATTACAGAATAAATACCTGCGCCTTGAGAACAGGAAGTCCACGATTCATACAAAGTGCTCACTACAGGAAGTTGCTGTGTCAAAATCCAGGCAAGGACCCAACTCCGGGCAGCCCCTCCTCCCTGCTGACCTCAACAAGGGCTGTGCTATTTATTTTATTTTATTATTTCTTTTATTTCTCTTTATTATTATTAATATTATTATTATTTGCTTTTAATGTGGTCACTATCATTGGCAAAGTTCCTTTTCCCCTTTCCTGGACATAGGGTTCCTGTCTTTAAAAGATTCCACTCTGAGGCTGAAGGTGCCAAAAGCTGCTTGAGAAGTGGCCTTTGAACTCCGTCTGGGAAGATGGTGAGGAGAAGGAAGCAGGAGAAATCATTCTTGGTTTAAAAAAATAAAAAACAAAAACAAAAGTCCCACAATCTAAAGGTCATTCCTTACTCGATCAGTGATCAAACTGCCCAAAAGGAAAACAAGAGGAGAAACAAACCCTGGGCGTTCCTCCCGGGCAGGGTAAGAAGGGTGGGACCCCCAAGCTTTCAGGGAAGCTGAGGCTCCTTCCAGCCACGGGGGTGTGAAGGGGAAGGAGTAGAGGAAAAAAGGAGAGACAGAAGAGAGCGCAGCGCCTTGACACAGACACTTTCCCATCTCCAGGGCCACCTGCGGTCCCAGCCCAGGCCAGCTCCCACTGTCACCTGTGCGTCCAGGAGATTCATAATAAAAAAAATCAGAAACAAAGCCAAAACCAAAACAAAATCCAAAAGGAAAAGACCTGGGGCAATGGAATGAGGAAGAGGGGAGGCGAGGAAGGTAGAAGGGCAGGTCTCTGGATGCATAACTCCCGAGCCCGGGGGCCGGGGAGGAAGATTCCCCAGCGCCCCGCCGCCTGCGTGGCGTTAGCTCGTCACGTAGTGTTTGGTGGACGGCTGCCCATACACCCTGTAGAAATCCTGGTGGCCGGGCTGCTGGGAGGCGTCAAGCCAGTCTCTGACCGCCAGGCTGGGAAGGGACTGGGGGACGGAGGGTGTGGGCGGGAGCGGATGTGAGTACTCCTGCGAGGGCACTGTCCAGGGAAAGTGGCCGGAGCGGGGGTAGGGCTGGTGGCCGCCATGGTTGGCCACGGAAGAACAGTAACAGTTGTCCACAGAACAGACGAGAATCTTGCGGCCGCCATACTGGGGGAGCATGGGCTGCTGGGCGGCGGAGCCATTGGGATACTGCGATGGGGGGAACACGGGGCTTGAGTGCACTGGTTGGGCGCCGCCCGGCAGGGCCACCAAGTGCTGCGTGGAGCTGCAGGGCCCCAGGGGCTGCCCAGACTGGCCCTCACCGCTGGCTGTGCCCGCCGCCCCGTACTGGCCGCCCACAGGGCCCGACGACGTCTCTAGGAAACTGGCCTCTGGGAAGGCCGTTGAGTGCTTGCGCTTTTCCGCCCCAGAGCTGCTCACGCCACAAGGGTACAGGGGGACACTCTGCAGGAAGGGCACCGGCGTGCTGAAGGGGCCTGTGGAGAGTTGGGGCAAAAGTCGCCAAAGCTCCCGCCCCAAACAACCTAGGCCTCCTCTCCCCGGGTTGGACCTGGGGGCCATTGACACCTAGAGGCTCGAGAATGTTACATCTCAGGTGATGCTTGCTCCTCTACAATTAGGAGGTAGAGAATAGTTATATCCCCACTTTAAGCTGAAGAAATGGAGGCTGGGGAGGTCATGTTGCTTACCCACTGTCCCACAGCTACAAGTGGCAAAGCCAGGATATGAGGACAGGTCTCCCAGACTGGGCCACACTGCCTCTTGGAGGGAAAGCTCTGGCGCTGAACCCCTCCCCAAAGGGCCCTGTCTCCCTTCGGCGGAACACCCCACCCTCACCTTCTAGCATTTTCCGCAGCTGCTTCTCCTTCTTGGCCACCTCGTTCAGGAAGAGCTTGGAGTTCAGGTGGCCGATCTTAGGGGGGGAAAGGCTGCTGCCCGTGCAGGTCTGGGTCCTGGGGGCAGTGGACGGGGCATCTGCTGTGAGGAGGCATCACCGGTGAGCCCGCCCTACCTCCCCGCCATGGGCCTGGTCCCCCTGCCCTCCCTAGGATGTGCCCCTGGGAGGGCTGGGGCCACCAGCTCACCTGTCCATCAGGATTTTCACAGACTTGGTGTTCTGTTGGGGGAAAGAAAAGGGTCAAGTCAGTGGAAAAGGCAGCCCAGGGAGAGCCTGGGGAGAGGGGAAAACAAAAGCTGCCCCCCGAGAGTCTCCCCCAGGCCAGGTGGATCCTCTCATTCTGGACAGAAAGTGACAGGGGTTGGGGTGGCCATTTGCGGAAGAAGAGCTAACATTTACTGAGCTCTTGCCACATGACCCAGGCATTGTTAAGTGCTTTCTGTGCATCTATAACTTCATCCAGACAGCTACCCAAGAAGAAGGGCTCTGCAGGCCCACACTGTTTTAGCTCAAGTCTTTGGGGCCAGATGTGTTTTGGAATTTGGAAATTTTTTTGATTTTAGAAGGAATATACAGTGCCTGTATCATATATTACATATCATCCCCAGCAAGACACAACAATCGAATACATCAACATTTCTGCAGCAAAATGTTTGAATTTTCCTACCAAGTGAGATAAAGACCACAAATTGCCTAACATCAGTTGAGGTCAATTTTTGCTGTTAAATTAGATGCCAAAACTCGTTTCTGTTAGTTTTCAGAGATGTTTATAAATATGGAATTGTGGATAAAGAATAGTAGCCCTGTATCATCAACACTACTTTGCAGGTGAGGGAACAAGGCCCGGGATGTACCTATGACTTGCCCAAGGTCACAGTGCTAGAAAGAGCAGGCAGGTGGATTTGAACCCATGCACGCTGGCTCCAAAGGCAAGGGCATCTGAGCTACAGGTCGGGGAAACTGCAGATCTCAATTTGGAAATGGCCCTCTGGGTGCCAACAGCCTGGTCCTGGGCCCAGCTCACCTTCATGAAGCTGACATCCTCCGTCTTATCAAAGAGCAACTGTAGGGAGCCCAGCAGCTTCTTGGCCTCCTGCATGCGCTCCCCGAGATGCAGCGCCTGCGCTGCGTTCTCGCTGCAGAACTTGGCCTGGGCCTTGTCCAGGACCTCCACTGTCTGCCGCAGATCCTCGTCCAGCAGTTGGTGCAGTTTCTCGTACTGCAGCCGAACTTCCTCCTTCAGTTGGCTCACTTTCTCCTGTGAGTACAGGGGGTAGGAGTGGGCAGGCAGGTGAGCCCTGGAGACCTTTGGTTTCCCCCTCTTACCCATCTCACATCCTAGAACTCCAAGTTACCAGGCTGCCCCAGGCTCCCAGGGGCAAGGTCTGACCTGCCAGTTCCCCACTGATAGCACAGGGCTCTGGGCCAGCATCCCTTGGCACCAGTGGGTATCCACGGACAGTTCACTGAATGACTGATGGAGTGGTTCTGGCGTAGAGCCACACAGTCAATCCTTAGTAAGGAACTCACCCAAAGCCCTGCACTCAAGCCACCCCCATCCCTCAGCATGGCCTTGGGCTTAGCTACCTCCACCAGGCGCTTGTCTGACTCGAGTTTGTACAGCTGGTCCTCAATGTCCTGCTCTCGCTCCTCCAGCCGGTCCTGCTGCTTCATGAGCATCTTCTGCAGGGACAGTTGGATGGGGGTATCACAGGGGCTGTGGCTCCAACCCTGACCCATGCTTCCCTCTACACAACACATGCATCCTATGGATCCTTTGACCCGACGGCACCAAGCCTCTGCCACCCAGCCCCTCTGGCCCCCTCCAATCCCAGGGGCCTATTACCAGCTCTCCCCAGAATAGCTTCCCATGCATATTTATTTATTTATTATTTTTTTAGATGGAGTCTCATTCTGTTGCCCAGGCTGGAGTGCAGTGGTGCAATCTCGGCTCACTGTAACATCTGCCTCCCGGGTTCAAGTGATTCTCCTGCCTTAGCCTCCCAAGTAGCTGGGATTACAGGCGTGCACCACAACGCCCAGCTAATTTTTTTGTAGTTTTAGTAGAGACAGGGTTTCACCATGTTGAGCAGGCTCATCTCAAACTAATGACCTCAAATGATCTGCCCACCTTGGCCTCCCAAAGTGCAGGGATTATGGGCGTGAGCCACCATGCCCAGCCCCCATGCATATTTAAACCCTGAGCTTTGGAGGCAAGGCTACACCAACCTCTGTTCTAAGCACTTTTCCTGTACAGATTTATCTAATCATCTCAGTAATGTCATAAGGTAAGTTCTATCATTATTCTCATTTCACAGAAGAGGAAACTGAGGCCTAGAGAGGTTAAGTAATTTGTCCATGGTCATGCAGCTTGTAAATAGCAGAGCTTGGGCACAAACCCAGGTGATCTGGCAGCAGGGTCCACTCTTACCCAGTCTGTGCTGCCTCTCCCTGGGGAGCGTCATCTAAGAGATAAGTACCCTAAGATGCAGGGGGTCAAATTCCCTTCCAAAGCCACATGAGCCTCTGTCCCAGTCCAGAGATCTCACTTTATATTCGCCTTACATTAGGGGGCATCAAGCCTGCCACCCCCTCCCTTGTTCTTAAGACCAAGAGTTAGGACTCTGGAGTCCTGGCTAGCTCCCTCAGCCCCTCAGTGGGACCCAGGCAGAAAGGAGATTTGGGGTCTCCTAAGACCTGAGGCCAGGCTGCTGGAAGGTACTGGACCAAGCTGCCCTTCTCAGCTCATAATCTCCTGTCCCCACAACCCCTTCCCTGCCAGCCACTTCATCTCTCCTGCCCTCCTCCCACCAGATATGCCTCTTCAGACAGGCTCTCTCCCCTGCTCAAAAAGTCTCTGTGACTCCCTGCTATCAACTACTTTAGCATGGCAATGAAGACTCTTTTACATTCTGACTCTTCCAGCCGGCTGGGCTGGTATCCTGTCCCCAACACTCCGCACATGGAAACTCCCTGCAGCTCTAAGTACATTCTTCTGCAGCCCACAGTGCCTCCTCCCTCCCCTATCCTTCAAGGCCCAACTTAAATCCCTACTCCTCTAGGAAACCTTCCATGACCCCCGCTCTGAGGCTGTGCAGGTCCCTCCCGGTCCTAGCTACGGGGTGGGGCTGTCCCACTCTGCCCTCCCTCTCAGGTTGTGCTGTCCAATATGGTAGCCACTAGTCATATGTGGCTATTTAAATCCAAGTTAACAAAAAATAAAAAATAAGGTCGGGCACTGTGGCTCATGCCTGTAATCCCAGCACTTTGGGAGGCCAAGGCGGGCGGATCACCTGAGGTCAGGAGTTTGAGACCAGCTTGACTAACATGGAGAAACCCAGTATCTACTAAAAATACAAAATCAGCTGGGCGAGGTGGTGCATGCCTGTAATCCCAACTACTCAGGAGGCTGAGGCAGAAGAACCTGGGAGGCGAAGGTTGTAGTGAGCCAAGATCGCACCATTCCACTCCAGCCTGGGCAACAAGAGCAAAAGTCTGTCTCAAAAAAAAAAAAAAAAAAAAAAGTTAAATATCAGTTCCTTATGCACCAGCCCCATTTCAAGTGGCCAGTACCTATGTATCACTAGTCTCAGATACTAAAGTTACAAAATGTTACCATCATGCAGAAGTTCTATTAGACAGCACTATTCTGGAGTCTTCTAATTGCCTCACAAACCATGGTCTCATCTGCCTACAAGACACAGGGCCTCTTAAGAACGGGGATTTGCTGCTGTCTTTCTCCACTTCCCTTCAGAGACAGGCCACACAAAGGCCTGGACGGCTTGAGATGCATAACAAATTCACTCAATAAGCCCGCGGGTTCCACACACAAAATAAAATTCGCAAAGCAGCTCTGTGTAACCACAGACATTCACAGTAACTGTCATGCCGCAAGGAGTGCTTCTCTTTCTTCCTCTGTGGGGGCCTGAGAGTAGCCCTCCAGTTCAACGCCATGACTCCCACCCTAGTCACACCCAGCTGGCCCCCCGAAGACAAGCTGCCATCAATCCCTTCCTCATCCCACCAGCCCATTTTATGTAGGGGCAAACCAAGGCCCACCAGAGACTTCAGCCAGACGCCATTTTGTGTTGGAGGCTACTCTGGAAATAACCAGAACCCTGGGAGCAGGAGGAAGTGTGGGGGTGAGGCTTTCACCTCATAAGCTGGGTGCAAGGGGCCCACACACAACTTAACCTTTCAGTGACCCAGGACAGGACTTCTAAAACAAACAGACCCGGGAGACCTTGCTCTGCCCCCAGAAGCGCCAAGAGGCACAGGAATCTGCTGCCAGCCCAAGGGGTCAGAGCCTGACAGCACACACAGCATGGGCGGGCAGGCGCAGGGGCGCCCGGCACAAAGCTGCACATGCACATAAGAATACCTTGCCACCTGAGCCCCGAGCCCGCCTCAGGTATGCTGGCGGGCACAGCCACAGGTGCAAACGCACTTGACCCAACCCCCTCACAGGGAAGGTTGGACCTCCTTGGAGACCCCAGACAATGGCGAGAGGCCTGGCACGATGGCGAGGAGGCCAGGACACTCCAGGAACATCAGGCCCGCTGACCTCCCCTGGAACAATTGGCCCTCAAATTCTTGCCTGCTGGCTGCCCCATGCCTACCCTCAGGAGGACAAGGTCCCCCTCAGGTACTCCTCAGAGTCCAGGTCACTCCCTCCATCCAGTGCTCAGGACATCTGAAAGGCCCTGCTGGCCCCACACATCTCGCACCCATGGGCTTCCTGCATGGCTGCTTCTCCACGACCAAACCCACCAGGAGCTGGTTCAGGGCGGACCCAAGTGAGTCCCAGGGGAGGGGTAGGAAAGAGGCAGCTCCAAGGTCCCAGCGCAGCTTAAGGACAGGAGCGGAGCTGTCCACACCCACCCCGCAGGCTGGTGGGTGCCCCTTTGCCCCATCCCTTGCCGATGCCCAGGGAGTGACCCCTCAGGGCACAGCAGAGAGAGGGCCTTCCTGTCCAGTCCTGGGGGGGTGGGGCTCAGCCCCTTCCCTCTTCTTCCGGGCTTTCCTCAGTTTTCCCTGGCAGCACTTCTACCCTGGGAGCCAGCAGAGTCTTCCCGAGCTTCTCTGTCCTGGGCACTCTGGGTGGGACACCAGCCCAGGCCACACAGAGGCGTGGCCACAGTCCCTAGCAGGTGGGAGGGTTTCATTTCCCCCTCCTGCTGCAGAGGCCACTGGGCTCCTGTCTCTGCTGCAGGGGTTGGAGTGAGAGCAGGAAGGGGAAGGAGGCTGGCCAGGGGGTGCCAGTCAGGGAGGAGTTGGGGGGTTGCACTGGCCTGGCCTGCTCTCCCTCGGGGCCAGTTCCTGCTACAGACAGCGCCTGGGAGAACAGTGGGAGCTGCTGCCGCCTCAAGCCTGGGAAATTGGAAGGAAGATGGGAAATACCCGCCTGCTGTCCCCTTCACGACCCCACCCCAGTTCACCAAATGAGCAAATCAGGATGCCAGGACACTGGAAGATGCTGGAAGACAGGGAGCAGAGGAAGGAAGACCCGGACCCCCCACCACCAGCAGCCTCCTTTCCATCCCAACCCCCACCTGCCTCCCCAGGGAATGGCTAAGAGCCAATGCCCCATTTCCCACCTGAGAAAAACCCATAGCTGAGATTGGACCGGATTTCCCAGCTCAATTCAGAGCAAGTACTCTCCACGCAGGCAGATGGGGCTGGGGGCACCTTACACATGCCACCGCACCCCCACACCCACCCCCCAGGGTGCGTGGCCTGGACTGCGCACGCTGGAGCACGCAGGAGCAGAGCAGAGCAAAGTGGAACGTGGCCAGGGCTAGAAGCTCTGGAGGCCCCAGGCCTCCAGGGAGACAGGGACTAGGTGGGGCCCAGGGAGGACCTTCACACCCCCAGCCCTGCCTATCGGGCCTCAGGCCTTCGGTGGTCTGCCCGGAGCCTGTGAGGACAAAAGCATGAAGAATCAGGAGCCACCATTCCCACCCTCCACCACCTGGGCCACCACTCCTCAGCTTTACCGTTTCTCCCTCTGACTCCCCTCCCAGCCTGGAGCAGGGAACCCTGAGCCCCTACAGTCCTGCCCCAGGAAAGCCTCATGTCCCTCTGGAGCCTGACTGGCCACACCAGCTGCCATTTTTGATGCCAGACTAGACTGGGCAGACGGGTGAGGCTTGGGGACTCTAGTCTGTATAAAAGTTAATAAATAATAATAATAAAACCCTCAAGTCAACCTTGAAGAGAAACAAGGTCAGGAGGAAACAGGGCCCCAGGGACCGGGAAAGAGGCAGTCTCTAGGTTTTCAGACAAGACCAGCGCTGGCTCCAAAAGCCCCTGTGGTGGTGGGAGAGGCAGAGCAGGGAGGGGCAAGAAGAGGGGGTTGGGCAGCCTCTTCCTGCTCAGGTCCCTGCCCGGTGACTCTCCAGCCAGCTCCAGCTCTGGCTCCAGCCCCCTCCTCAGAGCCACCCCATCCTAACCCTCCCCTACTCCTCCCCCTGGTCCCTGTCCCCATCTCTCCCTGGGTCTCTGGGCCCATAGCACTCTCCCCTTTCCTCAGAAAAGCTTCTGCCTGCCCTAAACCCCCTTTCCATGCCTCAAGCCTCTGCCTTGGGCTATCATGTGAACCCCAGGCTGGGGAAACCACAGGCCGCAGAGGGAAGGGGCTCCAGGGCAGACACCAGGGCAAGGAGAGAGGCAGCGCCTCAGATGCGAGCCCGGCAGACCCCAGAGAGGGCTTCCCAGCTGCAGAGTGGAATTAGCTTTTGCCATGCAGAGAGCAGCGCTCTGGGGCAGCAGAACAAAGAGGCGAGAGAGAAAGCCCCCCTTTGTCTGGCTTTGAATGCCAGGCCAGCCGGGAAGGAAGGCTTTCCCAGAGCCAGGGAGGAGGCCAGCCAGGCCAGCCTGCTCAGCCCGGGGCAGGGGCCCAAGCCGGGCTTGCTCCGCTCGCCAGACTGTGCCCAATACAACAGCACAGGACCCATTCGGCTCCTACCTCCAATACCCGCCACAGGCTCACTCCAAAGGGAAGCCCATCTTTCCCTCCTTTCCCCCACCACAGGGGGACGTCCCAGGACCCCTGACAAACTCACAGCCACCAAGCAAGGATCACCTGAGCAGGCACTCACAGAGCAGCACAGTAGTACTGCCAACTGTCAGGAAGGCACACTCAACTTCGACTCACAGGCACTCAGCAGGCCTGGTAGGCAGACACGGCCGCGCAACTAGAGACTGAAGTCAGGCACGCTGCGCCTTCTCAGAGACACCCATGTGAGATACAAAAAAATCAGTCACATCCAAGATACACGACCCAGATGTGCTGGCTACACATGCACACACACACACCTGCAGACAGACACGGACGTGTGGCCACTCAGGGCTGCAGGAGTCAGAGTAGTCAATATTGTGTGCATGACAGGTGCCCGGCCGTGTCAGCAGGATCCTGGGATGGGGGTGGGCAGCTGGGCCTCTGCCTGAGGCTCTGTTTCAGGGGCAACGGAGGAAGGCCAAGCCAGGGCCTCCTTCCACGAAGACTCGGAGTGGCCAGAGAAGGGGCCACATGATCTCACACCACACACACACGTGTGTGCACACAAACACACACACCCCTGCAGGAGTATGGTCTGCTGTGGGGAGATGGAGCAGTGAGGTCTGCACTGCTGGAGTCAGGCTGCAGCCCCAGCCTCAGCACCAGCCCCAGTAGAGCCAGCCCTCACTCTTACTGCGTACTCAGACAGACAAATGGAGAGGAAACCCAGGATTCCCTCCAGGGTCTCAGGGTGACCCCTCCAGCCACCGGCAATGTGCACAGGATCCCCTCACTCCAAGCAGGGGCAGATCCCACACTGGCCCAAGCAGTGGGATCTCCTCCCCCAGAGAACACCTCTTCTTGACTCTGAACCTCTGAGAATGCAAGGAACAGGGTCCTAGCAACATGTTCAGCCTTGCTCTGGGACGCCAGGGACGATGCAGAGACACAACTATAACTGCACAAGACTCAAGCAGATACACCTGCATAGACACACACGCACCACATACCTGCAGGCCCCTCACACATTCAACCGGGCCTGCACTTGGGTCTTCTTTCCATGTCGTGGGGGGTCATGAGATAAGGACACCCCCCCCAGCTCCCACCAGTCCCTCATTGCTTTAGATGAACTCCTGAACCTGGGGTCCAGGAGGGGTCTGACCACTCAGGATTGCCAGGACTGAGCCCACCTGAATGTCCAAATCTTGGGCCCTTAGCTTCCCCACAACCTCATGGGAGAGCACATTTAGGATCTAGGCACATCCTAGAGAATGGTCTCAGGACCATCCAGTGAGTATTCAGGCCTCAGGGCAATGTGGCTGACACACTGGCTTCCCAAGGGAAGATTAGGGCAACAACCCGCTTGGGCCTGATTCTGAGAGTCCCCCTTGTAGTCCCCCAGGATGGATGGAGGCCCTGCTCGCCCTCCTGCTGGGTCCCTGCTCTAAGCCATGGCCCATGTACACCTGTGGATGTTGTGAGTATGTGATGGTGAGGCCACCAGGGAGGGATTAATCTGGGTTTCCTATTTCTAGCCAATTGACAGGCATGTCAGCAATCCCCCTGGGAGGGCAGAAGAGGATGCACAAGAAGCAGAGCCTAGATTTTAACGCAAGTGCCAGGTCTCTGTGCTTCTGCCCCTGTATCCTGGGGAATTCTGTGGCCCTCGCCCACAATACCAGCAAAGGCCCTTTAAGGCAGACTCCCTCCAGCCAGGGAAAAGGGGCCAAGGAAAAGAGCTCCACCCACTGCCCCTGTTTGGCCTACAGAGAGTGCAGAGGGTTCTTCCATTCAGGTTCCTATGGCTCACCCCCTCCTCTCCCTCCTGGGAGGGCAGGCAGGGCCCCTATTTCTCCACATTCAATAAGTCAAACTCACAGTTGAGTGACACTGGGCTACTGAAGGGTTTCCAACCCCAGTGGCCTGGGGCACCAGAAAGAATCAGGGGCCTCGGGAAGAGGAACCTGGAGAAGGATGGGGCTCAGGCTGCCACTGCAGGGCACAGCTGCTGAACGCACAGAATTGCACATCTGGCCCTGATGCAACCCACTACTTCTGAGCCTGCCCACACCAGGCACAAGAAAGCACGTGCACGCGCACACACACGCACGCGCACGCACACACACGTACACACACCCTGTGGAGTTGTCGACAAAGTTCAGTGCCTGCTTCCATCCAATCCACGAGTCTGGAGATGACGGGCCTACTGGGGGGTACTCCAGGGAATACTCTGCATGCACATGCCACCCACCCACCCCTGCCTGCGCCCCAAACTGTAGAGATGGGAGACAGGTGCATTGGAGGGCGAAGCACACAGTCTCAAAGACACTCAAAAACATAGACACCTAAAGCTATCCTCCTACACCAAGTCAAGTGTAATTATGTTTTCTCTCCCACCCCAATTAAAGACATCCCTAGCACTCAGACCAGCTACAGCAGCACTGTGGGTGCGAGCAGGCATCTGCACATCGCCCAGGTTACTGCCCCTCCCCTGTTCCTTTCAGCCACATCTCCTTTCCCCTCCTCTCATTTTCCACTGCCAATCCCAGGACAGAACTGGACAGCCCTCCTTTCTCCTGCCTCTGCACTTTTCCTGGCCTCCTCCCCCAGCCCTTCCATCTTTATTAATAGCAGCAGCTTCCCAATACTGGGGAAAGTGTGGGCTGTGCCTGCCCTGAACTGGGGTGGAGGACACAGCGGGTGGAGGACACACTTCCTTTAAGAAACCAGAGGCCTATCCTGGCACACAAACCCAGGGCTAGTCCATCCGATTGGAAACTAATTATACAGTAAATCGTATTTGCTGTCCCCGCCCCAGCCTGTGGTGGCCCTCCTGCCTTTTGTTGGTTGTATGTGTATGTTTTTTAATTGCTAAACAGTGACTCATTCTGACTGGTCCCCCCACACAGGAAACAGCCCCATCTCCAATCATGCCCTGAACAGAGCTTCCTCATACCCAGCCTCCCCACTGGCCTCCACTAACCTCCAGGGATCCCCACCCAGAGACACTCCCAGTCCCACCAGAGCACAGCCTAGCCCCCAGATATCACACCCAGGCCTCAGGCCCCAGGTCCCAGGCCCCAAGGTGGGGCTTCAGAGAGGACTCCTCGGTGTCAGACCAACCCCTTCCTTTCGGTATGACTCAACCCTGAAAGCCAGAGGACTGGGGAGGGACCTAGGAGGAGCCCCCTCCACTGAAGGGGACGGAAGTATTGCCTCAGTCCAGCTCCAAAACTAGGCCCAGAGGCCTGAGGGGGGAGGCGGTTTGACATTGGCCGCGGCCGCAGGGTGTATACAATGGGAGGGAACGCGGTTCTGTAATCACCCAGCCGGCAGCCCAGGGGAGCCAGCTGCCTGAAACCAGATTTCAAGGCGGCTCAACCTTAAACCCACAGGATTCTTTTTCCGTCTTCCACTTCCCCTCCCCAAATGTGGGAGGGCGGCGAGAGGGTTGGGCTAGGCGAGAGGGCCAGGATGATGAAGACACATACTTGAAGGTTTGTTCATGCGGCCCGTGCGACACACAGGCAAGGGCAGCGATTCTGACACAGGGAGAGCCGGCTCTCGGGAGGAATCCAAATAGCGGAGCCGCTGTCCGGGCCTCGCTGGCTGCCCAGGCCCTGTCCAGAGAGATGGCCGGAGTTCTGCTCTCCCTCCGGAAGCTCCCCCCACCCCCCCAATGTGTTTCCAATAGCGCTGAAAACTAACATGGCTGCTTTTGTTTACTTCCTCATTGGTATGCCAGCATCATGGATCATGTCAGCCACAGCAGCGGCACCGGGACACTCATTACATAAACAGCAGCTGGAGAGGCAGGACCGGGGTCACTGCCTCGGTGACTTCCCGTAGGGCCTACAGCAACAAGGCTGGGGGAGGGAGCTGCGCACCACAGAAAAGCAACACCCAGACTCTACCCCTGACGGTCCCACACCCCAATCCCATAAAGCACTCAGAAAACGGACCCTGTGAGCACAGGTGCAAGAATGTACCAAGTAGCGACCCGGGGCCCTTCTTCCCAGGACCCTGTCCCCAAACTTTCAGAGAAGAGTTTGGCCAGGGGTTACTGGCCTGATGTCACAAGAGTCAGCCTGTCGGGATGGGTGGTCCCCGGGCGGGAGGGAGGGAGGAAGGGACTGTGTGTGTCTGTGTGTGTGTGCGCGCGCGCGCGCGTGTAGGGTACTTGCCCGGATTTCATTCCTTCGGATCTCCACGTCGCACACCGAGTGTCCCTGATGCGCGCCGCTGTAGTAGCAGCAGTACTGGCACACGGCCACCTGCTCGGCCTCGCAGTGGTAGAGGCGGTAGGCGTTGTGCTGCGGGCAGCTCCAGGCCCGCACGTCGTCCGCCTCCACCAGGAGGTGCCCGCGGGCGGTGGAGGGCTGCTGCAGGTGCGTCTGCACGTGGGACTGGCAGCAGGGCGCCTCGCAGCGCAGGCAGACCTTCTGGGCGGGCAGCGGGGGGCCGCGGCGGCAGAACACGCAGTGCAGCGCCGCCGGCGGCTTCTCCACGTGCAGGGCGTTGAACTTCTCCACGATGTTGGTGAGCTTCAGGTTCTTCTCCAGGCCCGGCTTCTGGTTGTAGGCCTGGTTGCACTCTGGGCAGCGCACGAGGCCGCTGTCCTTAGCCCACGCCTCGCCGATGCAGCCCCGGCAGAAGTTGTGTTTGCACGGCAGCTGCACTGGCTCCACGAAGACGTGCAGGCAGATGGGGCAGATGAGCTCCTCCTCGAAGCAGTTCTTCCAATTCTCCGCCATGGCGGCCGCGGGCAGGGGGGCCGGGGCAGGCCTCCCCGACTCCCCAGCCCCGGGGGTCCGTCCAGAGCCGCTGTAGGCCCACCGAGCCCCGAGCTCCGGCCCCAGCCGGCCCCGACGGTCGCTCAGTCAGCAGCGCCTTCCGCGTGCCCGCCCCCCGGAGGAGGGAGCCGCGGTCCTCACGCCGCGCGCGCAGCCGGCTGCGTCTCCTCCTCCTCCCGAGCGCCTAGCGGGAGGCGGCGGACTGCGCCAGGGCCGCGACCGGGGCTCCAGCCCTGGAGGGGAGCTCCGGGGTCCAAATTCCATATAAGAGGCCGCCTCCCCGTCGGCGCGGCTAGGGCAGTGGCGGCCCGCGGCCTGCGCTCGGCCCCGCGGCTGACATTGGGGCGCGCCCCGCAGTAGACGGAGCCTGGGAGCAGCACACTTCCTCCGGCGGCGGCAGCAGCTGCGGCTCCTGCCTGGCTCGTCGGCGCCGCGCCTCCCTCGCGAGGGCCGGGGTCTGGGGTCCGCGGGGCCAGGAGGCTAGGGTGGCCGCACCGAGGGCTGCTAGATCCGGACGGGGCGGGAGGGGCGGGCCGGCGGTCCCTGGGCCACGGTGCGGGCGTCCCCCGGCTGGCTGGCCGGGCGCGGGCTGCGGGGCGCGGGCGGGCCGACTCCGGGGCGCTGCCTGCGCGCAGGGGCAGTCATTCAGATGAAATTCCAGTCCCCGGCCAGAGACACCAGCCCGCCTCTGCCTTCCTCCTCCCTTCACAAATAGAAACGGAAGGGGGAGGGAGAGAAGTGGAAAAAAAGGCAACCGGCGAGGGAGGGAGGGAGAAGCCCCGGCGGCGCTCGGGCCTGACCCCCGGGCGGCTACTTCTGCGCTCCCCCGAGGCCCGGAGCCCCCGCCGCGAAGAGACCCCGCGCGCCCGTCTCCGCGCTGGGCGGGCGCCCGGGCTCTGCTGAGGAAAACAAGGATTGATCAAACTAGAAAGGAATTTTTCTCAACTGCTAATGAACAGGAGGCTCGGCTCCCGGCCCTCCCCTCCCCTCCCCCGGCCCTCCCCCTTCGCCCCCCCGGCCCCCTCCCCCCCACTTTTCTTTTCTTCTCGGCCTCTGCTCGGGCCTGGAAGGCTCGGGGCTGCGGTCGGAGCCAGCCTGCGGCGGCGGGGCCAGGCCTAGCCACCTCCCTCAGTGCCCAGCCATCTTGGGCTCCGCGGCGGCGGCCGGGGTCTGGGCGCACTCGCTGAGGGGCCCGCGGCGTCCTCTAGCTCCTTTTTCTTTTTTTTTTTTTGGTGAGATTTTTTTTTTCCACGGGGAGGGCTGGCGGCCTCCAACAAATTAGGAGAGAGGGGAGAAAACGCGAAGTCCCGATTTCTCTCCACCTCTGCTCCACCCACCCCGGTCCTGTCCAAAAAATAAAAAAAAGATGAGAATTGGAAGAAGTCGGCAGAAAGGCAAGCGCCCGCGGTCCCCGGCTGCTGCCCAGGCGACGCGTCCGGGGCGGGCCCGCGCCCGTTGCTCGGTCCGAGGTCCGTCTGTCTGCCCGCTGCTTCTCAAGAGAGGGGAGGGCGCTTCGGGCAAGGTCTCCGCAGCGGCTGTCGCCTCAGAGCTTTATCGTCAGATCAAAAAAGAAAAAAGAGGAAGAAAAAATCCCAACCCCAACACTCTCATCACAGCCACCTTCAGCCATCTTGCGCTTATTATTATTATTTCAGGAATAATCTGTTTAATAAAAATACCTGCGTATCCAGCCCCTCCCCCGCGTCCTGGGGTCCCCGCCCCCTTTTAATAATAATCTCGATAATAAAAACGATCGGCTGGCCGGGCAGTCCGCGGCGGCCCTTTCCTGCCTCGACTTGCTCGAGCCCGGCTCTCCCCACGGGAAGGGGCGCCGCGGGGTGGGGGTGCGTCCCCGTCGCCCGCGCCAGGAGAAAAGGGCGCCCTCGCCGCCGCCGCCGCGAGGAAGGCGGACGGCTGAGAAGCCGCGGCCCACGGGATCAGCTGGAGGGGCACTCGGGGGTCCCAGCGCCCCCGCCACGGCCCGGCCTGGGAGTCCGCAGCCGGCCGTATACAATGGGTTCGGAGCAGAGCGGGGCAGGCAGGGTGGGGAAGCGAGAGAGCTGGGGGCCGCAGCGAGCCGAGCTCCCGGGCTGGGGCGGAAGGAGACGGGGGGGTGGTGTCCCTACATCAAGGCCAGTCCCGCTACTCGGGAAGGGGGCGGAGAGTCGCGGCGGGGGGGCGAGGAGAAAGCGGCAGGCGGCGCCTTTAATCAGCACCCGCAGGTTCTGCCCACCCGGCACTGGCTAAAGAAACGGGCCCGGGGCCGGGGGAGAGGCGGGGCGTGCTTTCCGGAAGTGCTGTTACAGCTGCCGGGCGCCCGGCTCCTCCCCCTTACCCTGTCGCGTTGGGGCTGTTCTGGAGATTGCTCCTGCTATTGGTCGACAAGCTGAGGCTCCACCTCTCTGAGGCGGGGCAGACCCGAGAGTCTCACGTGACTCTCACAAACTTCGGTACATTAAACATTGGGATGGGAGGGGGTTTTCCGCGCTTGTTAAAAAAGCGATAGCCGGGCGCGGTGGCTCACGCTTGTAATCCCAGCACTTTGGGAGGCCGAGGCGGGCGGATCACGAGGTCAGGAGATCGAGATCATCTTAGCTAACAGGGTGAAACCCCATCTACACTAAAAATACAAAAAAATTAGCCTGGCGTGGTGGTGGGCGCCTGTAGTCCCAGCTACTCGGGAGGCTGAGGCAGGAGAATGGCGTGAACGCGGGAGGCGGAGCTGGCAGTGAGCCGACATCGCACCACTGCACTCCAGCCTGGGCGACAGAGCGAGACTCCGTCTCAAACAACAACAACAACAACAAAAGCGATAATGCCACGGCGTAGTGGGACCACCTCTTTCAGGGCCTGAAGTGAAGAGTCCCGTAGCTCTTTACCCAGAGGGAAAGGAGCCTTTGTCGGTTTGCTCAGCAGTCCAGTGGAAGTGAGTAGGAAAATGCAAAGGTTCAGTGTGGGGAGATTTCCCGACGTCCTTAATACTTTTACCTTCATCCCCGGCGCTTTAAACTACCTAGCAAGATAGGCATTTATTCCTCTATTAATAAGGAAACCATGGCTTAAAGCACTGCAGAAATCTGCCAAGGCCAATGGTCAGTCAATAAATCTTCAACAAAAGATTTTTCTAGGCCCTGGGAATTGCCTGAAAAACGTGCAAAAAAATTTAATTTAAATATACGTAGAACAATTTTCGTGATAGAGAATAACAGGCTCACACAAAGGCTTTCTGAAAAAGTGACATTTGAGTTGGGACCAGAATGCACACGAAGAGTCAGATAGGTGAAACCTGGGGGAAGAGTGATCCAGTCAGAAGAAAAAAACAAATGCAAAAGCAATAGAACAGGCAGGTTCCAGGACAGAAAGAAGGCAATGTGTCCAGGAAGAAAGGTAAGGGCCAGAACACACAGGGCCTTCCTTATATATCTATTATATATTATATAATAGTACACTTCTTATAAGTGTGCTATGTAAGTATAGTATAAGATACTATATAAGTATAGTATACTGTTATATATAGTATATATTATCTCTAGTATCGGATATACTGTATATGGTGATAAGTATAGTATAAATATACTATATGTATTATATGTATTTATAGTATATATTATATATACTATACCATATATATACTATAGTATACCATATATTATATATACGATACCATATATACTATAATATGCCACATATTGTATATACTATACCATAAATTATATATAGTATAATATGCCATATATTATATATACTATAATTATTGTTTTTTGAGACGAGTTTCATTCTTGTCACCCAGACTGGAGTGCAATGTGCGATCTCGGCTCACTGCAACCTCCTCCTCCTGGGTTCAAACAATTCCGCCTCAGCCTCCCAAGTAGCTGGGATTACAGGTGCCTGCCACCACGCCCAGCTAATTTTTTTTTTTTTGAGATGGGGTTTCGCTCTTGTTGCCCGGGCTGGAGTGCAATGGCACTATCTCAGCTCACCGCAACCTCCGCCTCCAGGATTCAGGTGATTTTCCTGCCCAGCCTCCTGAGTAGCTGGGATTACAGGCACGTGACACCACGCTTGGCTAATTTCGTATTTTTAATAGAGACAAGGTTTCACCATATTGGTAAGGCTGGTCTCAAACTCCTGACCTCAGATAATCCACCCGCCTTGGCCTCCCACAGTGCTATCATTACAGGAGTGAGCCTCCATGCCCGGCTATACTATAATATTTATACTCTCTATATATTATATTTTTCCCTTCTTTCCTCCAAAAATGTTTTAAAAATTATTCCTAGGATTTGGATCTCAACAAAAGGCTGATGGTAGCACCATTTACTAAAAAGGGGAAAATTGAACAGGATTAGATTATTTGAATAAGGCTATTTTCTTTTCTATTCTATTTTCTCTTTCCTTTCCTTTTTTTTTTTTTGAGACAGAGTTTCACTCTGTTGCCCTGGCTTGAGTGCAGTGGTGCAATCATGGCTCACTGCAGCCTCAACTTCCCAGGCTCAGGTGATCCTGCCTCCTCAGCATCCTGAGTAGCTAGGACTACAAGCACACAACACAGCCCAGCTAAATTTTTGTATTTTTTTCTAGAGTCAGGGTTTCACCATGTTGCCCAGACTGGTGAGTAAAGGGACTTTCTAAGTTGAGTTGGCTCATATCCCAATGGAAATGTTGAGGAGACAATTGTGTATACAGACCCAGTGGGGATGTTTGTCCTGGAGATAGGGATTTTGGAGTCATCAAAGATTATGTTCTAAATGGTAGAACTGAGATTGAAATCCAGTTCTATATGACCCCTGGGTCCCTGATCCTCTGAAGACAGAGCCTGTCTGTAGCGCTTTGCATCTCTTCACATGGGGGGTTGTATGCACCGCAAGTGAATATGTGAATGAATGAATGAATGAATGAACGAACAAGGAGAAAGTGGCTTCTAAGTCCTAATCCTCAATTCCATGCTGTAAGGATGGTGCGAAGAAAGAAGGTCTAGCTTAGAAGCAGTTGGAGGTCCCTTTCTGGCCTCCTTGCCAGTGACCTCCAGTATAAGCAATCTAAACAATTCCTCATGTACTGTCTTTTTTGAACACTCCCCTTAACTTGTAATATATTTGCTTCTTGGCCGGGCACGGTGGCTCATGCCTGTAATCCCAGCACTTTGGGAGGCCAAGGTGGGCGGATCACGAGGTCAGGAGATTGAGACCATCCTGGCTAACACGATGAAACTCCGTCTCTACTAAAAATACAAAAAAAATTAGCCAGGCGCGGTGGCGGGTGCCTGTAGTCCCAGCTACTCAGGAGGCTGAGGCAGGAGAAGGGCGTGAACCTGGGAGGCGGAGCTTGCAGTGAGCCAAGATCGCGCCACTGCACTCCATCCTGGGTGACAGAGCGAGACTCCACAAAAAAAAAAAAAAAAGAAAAAAGATATCATATGCTTCTTGTTTTCTTCTTATCTTCTAATCATAGATGTCTCCAATTTCCATCTCATAAATGTTGGCAGTCTTCAGAGTTCTGCTTTCCATCCTCTTCTCT